TGGAGGGAGCACACTGGCAAGTACAAAGGGAAATGGTTGGAGATAGAAAATACCCGTAATAGGTAATAGATAAATTTTACGTTAATGAGTTGAACAGAGGGGACAACCCCTGAGAAACAAGAAGTACGGCAGTAAGGTAGGAGAGACTAAGGGTATGTCGATTTCTTCCCAACCCCACAACTATGAGCCAAAATGACTTTTGGCTGTGTGGCATGTGGGATCTTAGTGCTCCGGCTGGGAACGGAACCTGTGCGCCCTGCAGTGGAAGCGTGGAGTCTTAACCACTGGACCGCCAGCGGTTTCCCTGTTTTTGTTTTTTTTAAGATAAGAGAAATACCCTCCTAAGCTGAGTCCAAGTGTTGGATATTAGCATTATAGTATCCAATTACAAAATCAGTAAAAAGGTAACCATGTAGAAAGTATGGGGGAAAGGTGGCTCAGAATGCTCAAAAACCAGAGGACTAGAGAGGATGGGACACTGAATGAATGATATGGAAGCAGGATTCATGCTTGAAGAATAACAGAAAGAAATGAAAAGGTTATAAAAAATTTTCTTCATGAAGAATAAAACTGGAAGAACTGACAGTCTGGAAAAACTAAGTTAACCTGGAATAAGCATAGTTAGAGCTGCTAAGATGCAAAACTTGTGGAGAGAAGGTGGAAATTGGGCCAACAATGTAAGTGACAAGAGAGGAGTGCAGGGACTTCCCTGGTGGCGCAGTGGTTAAGAATCCACCTGCCAATGCAGGGGACACGGGTTTGAGCCCTGGTCCAGGAAGATCCCACATGCCGCGGAGCAACTAGGCCCGTGCGCCACAACTACTGAGCCTGCGCTCTAGAGCCCACAAGCCACAACTACTGAGCCCGTGTGCCACAACTACTGAAACCCACGTGCCATAACTACTGAGCCCATGTGCCACAACTACTGAGCCCGCATGCCACAACTACTGAAGCCCACGTGCCACAACTACTGAGCCCGCATGCCACAACTACTGAGCCCGCGTACCTAGACCCCGTGCTCTGCAATGAGAAGCCACCGCAATGAGAAGCCCGCGCACCACAACTAAGAGTATCCCCCGCTTGCCACAACTAGAGAAAGCCTGCGCCCAGCAACGAAGACCCAACGCAGCCAAAGATAAATTAATTAATTTTAAAAAAAAAGAAAAAAAGACAGGAGTGCAGGGCTGTGGCAAGAGGTAAATCAGAAATGTGCAGGGCGGTATTTACTTTCCTCCACACTCAGCTGCTCTTATACGCCAAGTCAATTTTATAAACAGTACATCCTGGCATGGACATCCTGAACCAAATTTGTCACCTAAAGGGCCTGAATTCAGAATATTCAAAATTAATGGAACTGCTTAGTTGTATCTTCAGAAAAAACATTCAATCTGCCTTCCTGTATATTACTGACATGATAGTTAATATGCAATGTGACACTACAGTTCAGTTGCTTCTGATCACACTGGAATATAGGCTTTACAAATCTTCGTTTTTTCCGTCTTCCTTTAACTTAGGAATTAACTCATTACAATAAGACTATAAATGTGCACTTTGATTTTATTTAAAGGCATATGTGCATAATTTCATTACTTATATTTTTAAAGAGTATACACTTCATTAATGTGTTTGTTAAAAAGAAAAACCATTTTCTCTTTAAATGTTTAAAATGTCAAGTTTAAGAAGTAAATAATCCATTACACCTCAGGAGTTAACTGGTAACTTTTTTTGATTCAAGCTAAATTGGCCTGTTTGTAGTTCACCTTCTTAATATCCATAATGAAAGATCAATTTTTGGAAACTCAAAGAAATCAAATACAGTGGACCCTTGAACAACATGGGTTTGAACTGCTTGGGTTCACTTATACATGGACTTTTTTCACTAAACATGCACTACAGTACTACATGATCTGTGGCTGGCTGAATCCTTGGATGTGGAACCACGGATATGAGGATTTTCGATTTTTGACTGTGCAGAGGGCCGGCACCCCTAACCCCAGCTTTGTTCAAGGGACTAGCTACACAGCACTTAGATTGTACTTAACAATTATTTACATGGCATTTACACTGTATTAGGTATCACAAGTAATCTAAAGATGATTTAAAGTACAGTTGACCCTGTAGTATTTAGTGAAAAAAAAAAATTGGCATTTAAGTGGGCCTGCAAAGTCCATACTGTTCAAGGGTCAACTGTAATTTCAAAACTCACAAGCTTCTATAAGAATTAGTGTTAGCCGTTCCTCAAAATACAGATATGAAAAGCTGCATAAACATTTTTTTGCATTGGCTCACAAATTTAAATGAACTCAGTTTTAGAACAGTAATTGAAAGCATAGCTTCCAATGGTATGGGAGGTACAATCTGGGTCTTCTCTAGCCCTTAGTAGCTGTCTGGCCTTGATCAAGTCACTTCTTCACAACTCTATCATCTGAAGCGGGGGACTGGGACAGTTCATTCATATTCTGAAATTCAGACTCCCACAGAACCCCTAAAACTGTATGTATATGCATTTTGGAAGGAAGCCGGTCCAAAGTTCTCAATAGATTCTCACAGGTAAACTTCATCTAAAAATAAGTTTGCAATATATTACTGATCACTTCTAAACTGCTCCAGCTCTAAATACTAGTATTTCTTTGTGGTATAGGAACTCTAAGATGGCTCTCAAGATTCCCTGGTGTACATACCCTTTATAATCCCCTTTACTCAAGTGTTGGCAGGATACGTGAATATGATGGATATCATTCTGTGATTAGGCTATGGTATAAGGCAAAGAGGAAGGGATGTTGCAGGTATAATTAAGGTACTAATCAGTTTGGCTTTGGGTCAATCAAAAGGGAGATTATAGGGCTTCCCTGGTGGCGCAGTGATTGAGAGTCCACCTGCCAATGCAGGGGACACGGGTTCGTGCCCCAGTCCAGGAAGATCCCACATGCCGCGAAGTGGCCAGGCCCGTGAGCCGTGGCCGCTGAGCCTGCACGTCCGGAGCCTGTGCTCCGCAACGGGAGAGGCCACAACAGTGAGAGGCCCGCATACCGCAAAAAAAAAAAAAAAAAAAGGGAGATTATAATGGGTGGGCCTGATTTAATCAGGCGAGCCCTTTAAAAGAGAGCTTAGGGCCTTCTCTGAGATCAGATTCTCCTGCAGGCCTTGAATAAGCAAGCTGCCATGAGTCCTGCATCTGTAAGAAAATTATTCTATAAAATCATTTGGCCTATTATAACCTCACTGGCTTATTCTGAACCAGGTTTTTGTTTACTAAGAAACATGAATTATGCAAAGTACTATTATGTTCACCTTCTGGTAACTTACGCCATTTGTAAAAACCATGCTTTGTATGCAATCTATTTGGAACCATATGTTGTAGTTACAGAAATACTTAAAATATAGCTCAAGTTGTCTCTCTCAGTCCATTTTGCTGGAGGGGTGAAGGAAGGTCAAAATCTTGGTTTGGACAGGGAGAAAGTAGAAGCAAAGATGGTGTCACCTGAACAAATTCAGGCAGTTAGAATATTAATACGTCTATACCGAAATTAAATAACTTAAGAAATTTCTTCTGTAATGTTGGGTCTATATCAAAAGCTTACGAAAGACAAGCAAACATAAGCCACTGAGTTACTCTAACTTTACACTAATATATGAAAAAATCCACACAGCACACACACACGCCCCATGTAAAACATTGCTTTGAGTTTTAATGTTTATCTCCCCAAGACAGCCTAGCCTGCACTCTACTTGGATAAATTTTACAAGCTAGTTTTCTGCTGCTTCTAGTTTTAAACTTTAACCATGTTTCTGATGACAAGGAATGCTGCAAAAATACTCTAGTTCAACAAAGAGTTATGATCACAAAATAATTTTTATCCATTCTACAGTGTTTCAGAATTACCAGTTGATTTTTAAACACAAAGTAGATATAGATGCTAATGGTGGCTAATCTGGTATGTTTCTTATAGCAAACTGTTGTTCATGCAACACTTGTGCTCAAAGGGGAAGGCACAGGATTTCCTACAATGAGCCACCTTATAAAGAGTTCTTTTTGTACAAATTAATTTATGTCACATTTAATTTAGTGTGCATAACCTCGAAACTGAGGTATTATTCCAATTTATAAAAACCACTTGCATAACTTTTATGCAAGTTTTAAAAATACAAAGTTTTCTCCCTAAAGTGGCTCAAAATAGATTGTTCATGGCTGCCTACATCTAAGATAAAAAGATTCTAAAACAATTGAACAGATTAGGCATATTATTAAAGGTGTTCAAACCATTACTTGATTTGTACATCTACTCAAACCTCTTCATCGGTCTTTATTCAGCAGTACATATGCACCAAATTCCATTTTAGAAGTTTCCATATCATTTTCATAGAAAACAAAGTTTGAAAACAAGTAACATTTAAACACAGCACGGTATTCTACCACAACTGAAACTTTTTTCTTCTTCTTCTTTACAGGACTCAACAAAATCTAAAAATGAACTAGGCTGTAGATTTACCTCATGCAAAGATCTTTATGTTATCTCTGAAAATGAAAAGGATGGCTTTTTAAAGCACATTTTACTGTTTTATACTATTATGGTAACTTGTGTACTGCAACACAGTCTATTTTGAGGGAAATTTATGAATTTTTTTTCATGCAAAAATCTACACAAATTAGTTTTGATGATATGGAAAGCTTTTCATAGCATCAAACATTCATCTGGTGCAAATGCACAGGGAAACCTTCCTGAAAGTTTTCTGACTTGAGAAGCAACTAAAAAGCCATACTAGGTAAAGTAAATAAAAACTAAAAACAAAACAAAAACCCCACCAAAAAAAAAACAAAAAAGACAAAAACAAAAAAAAAAAAAAAAACCCACAAAAAAAAAGAGGGGGAAAAAAAAGGAGGGGTGGGAAAAGGGAAGAAGGGAAATAGAAAACACAGGCTGCAGAGTACACCAATGTCTGCTGCTGAACTGGTCTTTGTTTTCATGTCCAGTGTACAGTAACACTTATGATCTCACTTTGATGATTTACTAGGTTTGTTATCAGCCCCCTGAAGGCAAATCAAGCTTGCATGCGTTCACATACAGCACCACAACCATACTCTCGTACACAGTCACTCCAGGACTAGGAGTCTGCTTCATGAATGAAGAGCCCTAGATTTCAAAGATGAACCTGGCTCTCTATCACTGAGCCAGACATTCATTCAACATTGTCCATTCACACACTGCTTCATAGCAAGGCCTGGGCTCATTTTCCTTTGACTTATATGGGCATCCTATTCTCTTTTATGCTTACAAGGCTTGAAGATGACATTACTGCACTTTCCCCTCAGCTGATATAATGTCAATGTTCCTCCTCAGGCACTGAAGATCTGTGACCTGTAGCCCTTTTACTCTGAACAACCTAAATAAGCATTCATGTAAAGTTTTCATTACATTTTGCCACTCATTCTCACTCGCACCCACTCGCCATCTTGACCTCATTTGGGCATTTTCTGTGATTCCAAATGAAATCTTCACATTTTCTTTCCCGATTTAATGCAGCAGCAGATCCCATGAGCCAAGCTTGATGGATCAAACCTTTTTATATATATGTGTATATATATATATATCTCAGTGCTGCATTGTACCTAACTTCCACAACATCTTTCTAAAACTGGAACCCTTCTGTTGGTACATTGGCAGATGAATTGAAACCAAATGTTCCACCTTGTATTGCCTCTGGAACAAGACTAGGATCTTCATCAATCTAAGGGAAAAAAGGAAAAAGAAGGTGATAATTAGTTTAAAAAAAAATAGCATTGTAGTACTATTTCCATTTAAAAAGTATGGGAGGGCTTCCCTGGTGACGCAGTGGCTAAGAATCCACCTGCCAATGCAGGGGACACGGGTTCGAGCCCTGGTCCCGGAAGATCCCACATGCCACAGAGCAACTAAGCCCATGCGCCACAACTACTGAGCCTGCGCTCTAGAGCCCGCGTACCACAACTACTGAGCCTGAGCTCTAGAGCCCGTGCTCCACAACAAGAGAAGCCACCACAATGAGAAGCCCGCACACCGCAACAAAGACCCAACACAGCCAAAAATAAATAAATTAATAAATTAAAAAAAAAAAAGTGTGGGAGATGATGGGTGCCAACACTGTCCTACCACCCCTTTAGAAACCTGAAACACTTTATAAACGCTTTTTCTTAAGAGATGCCAAAAAGAGAGGAAACTTAAGAGAATATGCAAAACGTATATCTTCTGAAAGAATGAAAGAGAAGTAATACATTGGAAATGGTCCTACATCTCAGAGTATACTCACTGTAATGCTACCACTTTTGGAGAGTTAAGTGTATTCTTTGGTTTATCTTTTAATAGCAATTGGAGACAAATGACTTTTTTTTTTTTTTTTGACAAATGACTTTTGAGCTTAAAGTAGTAAAATAATAGCTCTGCTAAAAATGTATAATATTCTTCCTATATGCTTTATATCTAAACGTTGAAATTCCACAAAATTATGCACCTAAGTGTAGTTCCTATAAATAGGCACATCATCTTTTTTATTCTTTTCATGATGCAACAGAGTAAACAGGACCTGCACGTTGAAGTATCAGAAATCATAAGGCTTTATGTATACCTAATTATCAATTAGGACTTCTAAAAATCCAACTTTAAGACATGTGACAAAAACTACCTTTAAAAAAGTATGCTTTTCAACTACTATTATATTATAAATACGACTTAGCTTGATAATCTGTAATTCTTCTTTAGTATTGTCCTTGTCAAGTTAATGTTCAAATCATGCATGCTTAACAAAATATTTAATAACATTCCATTTTTTTTTTTTGAAAAGTTGAGAAAATCATTCAAGAGATCCACTGGTGGTTCTATCTATAATCACTATAATTTTCTAAGAAACTGCTTTAATTTTAGATTTAACTTTCCCAAAGAGGTGATACTAAAAATAATTCTTTAATTTCAATTACCATATACTGACAATCTGAAGATACTCTTCTGGACTATACCTTACATTATATAGTAATATATATATTATTATAAGAAATACTTATATTTCCTGATAATTTTTTTCATTTTATCTATTTATCTTTGTATTAGTTTTTGGTCACCAACTAAAAATAACAGTGACAATATATTCAAATACAGATTAACTAATTATTGTCATAATGGATTTATTATAGGATATGCTAGGCTTCACTGTTTTGTTTATAAAGACATCAAGGGAAAATAAAGCCTGATTTATCCACTGTCAAAAATTCTTTTTGCCATTAGAGCTAGTACTACTTTTTAATACCTTGAAGGACTTTAAAATACTGAAATATTTGTACTTCTGAAATAGGTAACATTACTGTCATATATCTATTTCAATTCCATTCCCCCCAAATACATACATATATGTCCTAGCTTACATTTCATCCAGACTATGCTTATACATAAAACTGAGAAAATTATAAAATTATTAAATACATCATCTGAAGAGAAGAACTGATCAATGATCTCATAAGCCAATTTGTAGATGTCTTCATTTTCATGATTTTGAAGTTGTTCAATTTTCTCCAGTCCTGTAAGAAATTTTATGAAGTGAAATAATGGTAATATTTAAAAAGCAGTGACAAAAAAAGTTACAATAATCTTGGGAACACAAAATCCAATTTTGAGGAATCTATTCTAAAAGTGAATATTATAAATAAAAAGGTTTTATGCACAAAGATATAGCATATTTATCTTAAAAAAATTATCTGAGTATCTAACTACATATAAACATAAGCAATGGGACATCTATCTACTCAGCAGAATAACTATACATCAGTGTTTATAATGAGTAATAACATGTAAAATTGCTTTGTTAAAAGTTAAAAGCTGGGAGATCCCTGGTGGCCAGGTGGTTAGGACTCTGGGCTTTCACGGCTGTGTGGGCCCAGATTCAATCCCTGGTCGGGGAACTGAGATCCCACAAGCCATGTGGCATGGCCAAAAACAAACACACACACACACATCCCCAAAGATGCAAGGAAAAAAAAAGTTAAAAGCCAATTCCTTCTATTTTGTAGCATCTGCCAAGTTTTTCTAGTGAGCATTTAGGAAAATAACTTTTAAGTACTTGTGATTAATAAATATGAATGTTAAGACAGCTATTCAAGTATAATGAAAAATGATCAAGATCAACCACAGTGTTTCAGGGGAAAAGGGAATTTCCCCTGTAAATATTAATAAATTTATTAAATCATAGGCAGAATATATAAACTTAACCTATTGATATGCAAGCTGGATATTATTTTGCTTTATAGGAGTAATAATTAATTTTAAGGCCTCTGAATTAAAGTGAAATTGCCCTTTCATGAGTGTTCTTCCTTTATCTATTCTTTAAGTGGAGGAAGTTGTTATGGGCATGTTTCTCACTTTTCACATTCTCTTTATGGGGCCCTTCCATGAAAAAGTTTAACTACTACATATAGGCTGAGGACTTATAACTCTATGGCTTCATTTCTTTTCTGAGCTTCAGATGTTGAAAATCTTAAACATGTATGATAATTCCACAAGGATATTTCACAACAGGTATCTAAAACTCAAACTATCCAAAACACAATTTGTTATTTGCCATTCTTCATTTACGCGTTTATTATACTGTATTCTTATTGGTGATAATCAACAGCAGTTTGAAATCTGAGAGACAGACTAATAAGTTCCCCTTACCCTCAATACTCTATAATCAAATCTCAAAAACCTTAAAGTCTATCCATTTCTTGAATCTTGTCATCTCCCCCTTTTCTCTATTATCACTGCCTTCATTTATTGTGGCCTCACCACAATATATAGAAACCACCTAGGTGGTTTCCTGCTTGTCTCTAAATGGTTGCATTCCCCTCATATCCATGGCTCTATTTAAATACATCAATTCACTAGGTAAAATCTTCCAATGGCTTGTCATACCCTACAGCAGAATCCTTTGAGAAGTTTATAAGATACATATTCCTAGGGCTCGCCTCCAGTGAAGTAGGCAATGCTCAAGATCTATATTTTTATTTTAATATATAAAAATAAATTTTTAATAATTAAAATGTTTATATGGTAAAAGAAAAAAACATACAAGTAGGAAAATTTTTTTAACAATTCCTGCTTTTAATTTTTCTGGTACTCCCTTTCTAATTATTTCCCTAACAGTATTCCCCATGTCCTGTTCCCAATTTGATAGTTATGCAATTTTTGTTGCTGTTCTATTTGTCACTTTAATAACTTTAAAAATACTTACTTATTAATTTTCAAGCCTCTGAACTCTACTAAGGAAGCTGAAGATACTGGTTCTCCTACTCCTAGTTACCTCTCCCTCCTTTACTTCTCAACTTCCATCAGAAAGATCTTTACTTTTATGCTTATCCAGGTTGATAACATTTACATGTTATTCCACAGCCATATCTGAGACTTCCATGTTCTGTCTACATGTTAATCCTAAGGGTTGAAAGCTAAGACATGTTGTTTATCTTCCTGGTGGCTCTGGTACACTGCCAGATTTGGGAACCACTGCCCTAAAGTATCTGCCGTGCTACAAAGCTTCTAAGACTGCAGGGGCCTGGTCAATGGCTAAGTCTGCAGCCTTATCTTTTGGCAGTTTCTACCTCATATTTTGTGATTCAGCAACACTAAACTACTTATAATTTGCTGAATGCTATTTCTCACCTCAGACTTTGCTCATGGTGTTATTTCTGCCTGGAACACCTTTCATCACTTTTTACTTTATTAATCCTTATTCATCTCTCAAAATCCAGCTCAGGTGTCACTTCCTGCTTCTTCCAGGATGGATTAGGGTATTTTCTTTTGTTGTACATTTCTATTAGGGTAATTAGCACATTAAATCAGTTCACATTTATCTCCACGACTAGACTACATGCCTTGAGGGAAAGGACTGTGTCTTGTTTACCACCGTCTTCCCAGTACCTTAGCACAGTGCCTGTTCAATATATGGCAACAATTCAGTTACCTAAGCATATGCAAGAAGCTGAGCAGGACTGTACATATAGAATACAGTATTTACTTTATTCTATTACTTGATTATCTAAGACAGAAAAATACAGAAGTGCTGTATTAGTTAGAAAATAGAAGTAGTTACAAAAAGAACATTAAAATGTGGAATAATATCAATAGCTTATAATAAACTTACCTCCACATTCTTCTATAAGATTGGCTATGGTTTCTGCCTCATCTTCAGCCATTTTTAATATATTACTTAGTCCATCGAGTACTACTTGCACAACTTGTGCATCTTTTACAGTCAGCAAATTGCAAAAAGGTGGGATAACATTTTGTTGGATTAGGTAGGCCACCTGAAGAATGAAAATACCATGATATGATAAGTGTTAAGTGAACTTCATTTGTGCACCCTATTATCTCACTGGAATAATTTTTTTTTTAATTTTCATTACTATCTAGCTAGCTAGCTAGCTGTGTTGGGTCTTCGTTGCTGCATGCAGGCTTTCTCTAGTTGCGGTGCGTGGGCTTCTCTTGTTGTGGAGCACGGGCTCTAGGCACGCGGGCTTCAGTAGTTGTAGCACCCGGACTCAGTAGTTGTGGCTCACGGGCTCTAGAGCACAGGCTCAGTAGTTGTGGCGCACGGGCTTAGCTGCTCCGTGGTATGTGGGATCTTCCCGGACCAGGGCTCGAATCCATGTCCCCTGCATTGGCAGGTGGATTCTTAACCACAGCACCACCAGGGAAGTCCTCACTGTAATAGTTTTGACTTTAAAATCTTGAATATGGAAATATGACCTCACCTCTCACATGTTAAGTTAGACTACATTAATCTAACCTTTTCTTTTTAATGTAGTATGTTAATTTTACATGAACTTAGAAAAAAAAACTAAAGTGAAAATGAAGGAGTCACTCAACTTCATATGACACATTTCTTTGCCATAAGGAGTACTTCCTTCAGAGATCCTTTCTAACATTAAGAAATTATGAAATCAGTTGAGAGGCTGGATGATTATTTTTTTAAAGCTATAATTGTTCAATTTGAGAGCATCCTCTCTTTGCTATAACATTTAGCACTTATATATACCTGGCCACCTCTCAATTTGCTGTTCTATTGGTTCCATAAAATTTGCAAAATATTCTTCTATCATTTTTCTATTTAGTTATTTCCATGTATTGTATTTATATTCTACTCTGTATTCATATTTGAGTGGATTCACTGGTCACCACAAGTCTATACCTTATTTGTGACAATTATCAGCTCCAAATTCATCCTTTTTCACTTGTCTGTGAAACATATCTGGGACTTTTTTTTTTTTTTTAATTTAGTTTTGGCTGCGCGGGTCTTAGCTGCGGTACGTGGGTTTTCTCTTCTCTAGTTGTGGCGCGCGCGTTCCAGAGCGCGCGGGCTCAGGGTTTGCAGCAGGCTCTCTAATTGAGGTACATGAGCTCAGTAGTTGTAGTGCAACTACATCGTGTAGCTGTAGTGCATCGAACACATGTCCCCTGCATTGTAAGGATGATTCTTTACCACTGGACCACCCGGGAAGTCCCCCATATCTGGGACCTTTAAAACCCATTTTCTTTCGCCAGTTGGCATAATGTTAAGCTTTGTCACCTGCACAACTGTGAGAGTAAGTGTCTCTTTATATTTTATGCCCTAGGCACCTCACACTGTTCACCCTAGTTCTTAGTCCCAGCTTTTTGGCTGAGTTTAGTTCCTTGTTTGGTTTGCTGCCAGATAATTTTTGTTGTTGTTCATTTGTAAGGAGAATCTGTGAGGCAGATTCATTCTGCCCTATTAACCTAAAAAGTCTTGTTTTTTTCTTAACACTGTTAAAAAACAAAAAAAACAACCCTGACCGTAAGTGCTTCATCTTACCACGGATTAGAAATTTCTTGTAGGCCAAGAGGCTGGAAAGAAAACACTTCACATCTACGAAATATAACTAAAGGAAGTCAAGGTGACACTTTTATGTATCACAGAATGCCTGTTATCTTGCTATTATCTTAAATTATGATTTACTAAAATCTAAATCTTAGAATTATTGGTACTGTTATTTTATCAGTTTTGAGAAATAAATAAGAGCTGAACTTACTTGATCTTTCCTTCCGCTAATTGTTAAGTTACTTATGGCCCATGCAGCTTCTTTCTGAGTGCCAAAATCTCCCTGTAAAAGCAAAGTAAAGGATACAAATTGCAATATAGGGTAAACTGGAAAAGGTGTTCTCTGAAATGATTTTTCAACTGCTTATTCCCCTAGGTTTTCTTCTAGCCTTTCTATATACATATAATAAAGATAAGGCTTTGAACTCAAATTACCCTAAACAAATGGAGATTCCTTTTTGTGAACTTTCCCAGCAACAAATTGACTTGATATTGCTGTTCAGTAATATCAGATTAAATGAAGTCAACGATAAAATAAAATAAAATCAGTCAAAAAAAAAAAAAGGAAATATACAATTGTACTTTAATCAAAGAAATGTCAAGGGTAAGGTATCCTTTTAAACACATAAAGTTTTAAAAATGAAAATACCCACCATTAATGAGACTGTCATAAAGACATTACCCTCATATATTGTCTTTCAAATATAAATTGATAAAATAAATTTAAAATTCATTTAAAAAGTCATATATATGATTTAGTAATCTCACCTTTCAGAATTTACCAAGCAAATAATTCAAAACAAAGTAATATTATGTATCTTTCCATATAATGTCTTAGCAGCACATAAGAGTCAGAAAGTAAAAGCAACTTAAATAACAGAGGAATGACTAATTATAGCAAATCTAAAGAATAAAATAATAACCAGCCACTAATGTTAAGATGACTAGCAACTTGGAAAAATGCTTAGGATGTATTAAGAAAAGAATATGTAAATAAGAATGAAAATTAAAACTGAAGTGATTAACACAACATTGTAAATCAATTATACTTCAAAAAAAGAAAAAAGAAAAACTGCAGTGGGATATCTACTCTTATTTATCAGATTGAGAAATCCCAATTATGTGTTGGTGAGACTGGCAGGAGTGTAAAACGGGACAATCTTTCTAGAGGTGGATGGGCATTATATAGCAAATTTACATATGTGTCTATTTGTAGATCCAGTAATCCTAAATACAGCCTGGCAAAAAACATGGAAAAAAACTTTACATAGGCATTTCCTTATATTTAAAGTATAAACAATAGACGAATAAACCAAAAACTAATAAAAATGATCATCTGTAAAGGAAGGGAAAGAACAGGGAGGAATGGACAGAAACAGAAGTTAGACCTCTGTGTACATACCTTGAAAACAAAGAACATATTTTTTACTTGGAAACTATAAATGCTTCATATAACCACAACAAAATAAAAAACAAGGGAATTCCCTGGTGGTCCAGTGGTTAGGACTCCATGCTCTCACTGCTGAGGGCCCAGGTTCTATCCCTGGTTGGCGAACTAAGATCCCACAAGCCGCACAGTGCAGCCAAAAATAAAAAACAAAACCTAAAGTAATTCCCCCAAATAAAAAACAAACAGAAATAACCTAACTGTATATCAAGTTGTATATGTTAACCACACATAACAGGAATTATTTCAAGTGACATTATTTTTAAGTACATCATTGATGGAATACATCCTAAAGACAAAAAAGTCCTCAAGGAAATCTCAAAAGTGGAGTAATCATGTTGTTAGTGTCAATGTAGTCTTGTTATTTTGATAGATTTTATATTATATATCTCAATATATAACTCAAATAATTATGTTCATGTTTTTGGAAGATTTCCAGCATAAAAGAGATAAAAATATAAAATCGAAGAAGTAAAAATAAAAACACTGCTATCTTAAATACCCAGTAATATCTGATAGCTTCCTTTCATTCATGATTTGTTTTTTATGAATCTCATGTTCATAAAATTACAATATGCATATTTTTCACTTTCTTAAAAAAAAAAAGGTCACCTATTTTGTTCATTCAAGCCTAGATACCATGACAACCTTATAGCAATGATTATCCTTAGTACCTGAACTATGATCTTTAAATACCATTTGCTACAAAAAGGAACCAGGACACCCTGGGAAATAGTTAATTCCAGGCGTAGATCAGGAAATATACAAGGTAAGCCTGGGAATCATATCACATCCAAAAGGTAGGAAGCTCTCAAAAACTACTGCAGTGATGTAAAAAAGACACAGGCACCAAATTTAAGAGGTTCCCATTGGTCAGGGACAACCTGAACGTCAGAAAGAATAGCTACAAAGGACTAAAACTTATATAAAAGATATACACATATGTAAATCCATAATTTCCTTAATGACACTAAAAACTTTACACTCGTCTCCTTTTGAGGTCATTAGGGAACCATGTCATTCTAAAAACAGTGATAATGAGCAGGGATCAAACATTTGTCTTGCCTTTCCTATATGAAATATATTTTAGAGTAAACCAACAGTTGATAGGGAAAAGCTCTTTTTTCCTCTTTATTGAAGAATCATGGCTAATACATAAAGAATGGCAGAATTACGAAGTCATCATGTTGCAGTTCCTAGTATAATAAGTGATCTAGGTAATGATCATCATGACTGCCAAAAAACCATTATGTGAAAGAATGATGAATAACTTTATAATAATTGGCTGGAACAGGCTGATAACATCTGAGCTGACTTAATCTAAATATCACTAAATGTAGGACAAACAGATAGAATGTTTCTCATGTGAATCATTAGTGCATGATTGAACCCGATCTACCAGTTTATAAGAAATTAGCCTCTACTACTAGTTTGTAGGAAACGTGGAAGAAAAGAAGATCGAGATATCCTCTCTTTAATTAACAGATCAGTGTTGAGAAAAAAACCCTCATGCTGTGAGTGGACACTTTAAACTGTCTCTTTCCCAAACGTTAATGTAAGCATGCAATGATATGGCGTATGATTAAATAGCACACTTACTTGCTGTTTGATCTTGGGCAATTTATTTGTCTATACCATAGTTTCTTCATCTGTCAAATGGGAATAATTCTTAACCTCACAGAGTTACAGTAATAAAGAAATAAAGTAATACATGTAAAGTGCTTGGTACAATATGTAAGCATTTATAGTCAGTAGTAGTAATATGAATTTTTAATAAACTTCAGGATAATGGTAATTTTGATAAAAGAATGATATAGAAAAACGGCCAGGGGTTTCTAAAAGGAACTATTTCTTGTATATAAAAAATGCTTGAAAGTTTTAATATTAATACTATTTTACTGTACTACTCATGCCATTGTATAGGTTGTAATTAAACAGAAAAATATATATTCATATAATTCTTTTCCTCTTACACAGAACATACAAGATGACTTTCTTACCTTATCCAAAAGGTGTATTATCATTGGTACAAGATTGGCATCAATTACTGCCTGAACCTGCTGCTGATTTCCTGCGGTGATGTTAGAGAGGAACCACACTGCTTCCTGTAGAACAAGACCCTTTCAATATTTCTCATTAAAAAATAAAATCTGCAGCTGAACTAGGAAAAAGCACATTCACTACAACGTCCAAATGATTTTATGGAGTATGTTCCATAATAAAAAATTTAGGAGTATGAATTCCTCTATCCCCTTTCCATATTTTTCTTTGGACAAATTGCTAATGACCCTAGTCTAAGTGATAATGAACTAACCCTTCTAAAAAATTCTTGAAAGCAATGTTCCCAAACACTAAGACTCAAAAGAAGCTTGTCTGAACAAATACTAAGGAACTGATGAGCTGCAATACAAATACAAATCCTAAAACAATTGTAAAGGAGATTCAGCATCCTCCTCACATAGGGTGCTTTATTTATTCTCTCTTCTGTTCTGATTGAGTCGTAGCCAAAGTAGATAAATCTCTCAATTATTCATGATAATGGAGACACAAAAACTGAAATAGTGGATTGTTTTAGTATACTTATTTGTAATAGTCATTCATTGTACCATCTCTCTCAAGAGTTAAAGTGGAACCAGATGTTTGACAGCTTTATTGGTCTACCTTAATGATCTTTTTATGCTACCCTTTACACCACAATGTGCTACTTCTACCAAGATGATTACAAGTCTTTTTTTCATAGACAATAAATGCATACTAAAAACACAGAATGAAATAAGACAAAATATCTGCCTAATGTCCTATATAGGATATTGCTATAATTTACCAAAGTTAATAAACCTATTAAACATATGAATTTACTAAAGGGAAACATTTTCTCTATTTTAAAAAAGTAGTAAAGTTTTACTCCTAGTGTGCAGTAGGCTCTTTTGGATCAGATCACAGGATCATGTTTAATGAACCTGTTAGAGATTTTAGGGTGCTAGGCTACTTAGGTGAGCTGTTCTTGGGTTATAATCATCGGCAATGTTGTAATCAACAACCCATGTATTTCTACAACAGCCTCAGATGCACTCCAACGTCAGCATCACCAGTCAGTGCCCCCTTTTCATAGCCTCCACAAGCACACACACATGCACACACACTCTAACAAATAGCTAAAAAATATTAGATTACTTACGTATTAAAATCTTCCAATCATACAACATTCAACACCCAATTATCTCTATTTCATCATTTCCAAGAGAGCCAAATGTGCACTGTTTACAATCAGTTTTATATATGGAAAATCATGTACCAATCCATGTCATAAAGAGTAAAATACTTTCTCTTAATGTCTAAATGACAGTTTATGTTAATAAACGGTATTAAAGACACTTGAGTCTCTAATTTTGCAAATGAAAATGGCTACTTTATATGCTAATTATTAAATAGTATTTAAAAATACTTACTTTATTAATTTTCTCTTTGGGATGTGTCAGAAGTGCGGGGAAGTGTGAAAGAGCATCACAGTTCAAAACTACTTGTGTTTGCTCATCAGTTCCAGTAACAATGTTGCCCACAGCTCGAAGTGCTGCTGTCTGAAACATAAAAAGATTTAATGAGATGTTGTTCTATATGAATCACTTATTACCACAAAGGTATGTTAGGCAGGTTATGAAAGATATATACATATATATTTTATATAAATTTGTTTTATTTATTTTTGGCTGCATTGGGTCTTCACTGCTGTGCGCGGGCTTTCTCTAGTTGCAGGGAGCGGGGGCTACTCTTCATTGCTGCGTGGGCTTCTCACTGCGGTGGCTTCTCTTGTCTGGAGGGCAGGCTCTAGGTGCATGGGCTTCAGTAGTTGTGTCATGTGGGCTCAGTAGTTGTGGCTCATGGGCTCTAGAGCACAGGCTCAGTAGTCGTGGCGCACGGGCTTAGTTGCTCTGCGGCATGTGGGATCTTCCTGCACCAGGGCTCGAACCCATGTCCCCTGCATTGGCAGGCGGATTCTTAACCACTGCGCCACCAGGGAAGCCCCAGGTTATGAAGGATATCTTTATGCATTCATGCCTACCTATCCTTTTTGAGCAAGTTGTGTCAGACACTGATTTAGGAACAGAGGAGTGAATAGGACAGACATAAACCCATCTCCTATGGAGCTTCCATTATTGTAAGAGGAAACAGCCAATAAACAAGTAAGTATGAAGGATAATTTTAGATAGTAATTATGGCCATAAAGAAAATAAGATAATACAAAAGTTTTTGTGGGAATATGTTTTCAGTTCCCTTGGGTATATACCTGGAAATGGAATTGCTGGGTCATATAATAACTCTACGTCTAACTTTTCCAGGTACTGTCAAACTATATTCCAAAGAGGCCGTACCATTTTACATTCCTACCAGCAACGTATGAGGATTATACTTTCTTTACATCCTTGCCAACACTTGTTACTGTCTTTTTGATTATACCATCCTGGTGGGTATAAAATGGTACTTCACTGTGACTTTGATTTGCTTTGCCTTAATGACTAAGGATGTTGAACATCTTTGTATGTGCTTATGGACCATCTGTATGCCTTCTTTGGAGAACATTACAATTTTTAAACCATTTAAAATTAGGTTGCTGGGACCTCCCTGGTGGTGCAGTGGTTAAAACTCCACGCTCCCAATGCAGGGGGCCTGGGTTTGATCCCTGGTCGGGAACTAGACTCCACACGCATGCCACAACTAAGGAGCCCTCGAGCCGCAACTAAGAGCCCACATGCCACAACTAAGGAGCCCACTTGCTGCAACTAAGACCCAGCACAACCAAATAAATAAATATTAAAATTGGGTTGTCATTTTTTTTTGGTGAGTTTTAAGAGTTCTTTATGTATTTTGGACACTAATACCTTTTCATATATATGATTTGCAAACATTCTCTTCCATTCTGTAGGTTGTCTTTTCACTTTCTTGATTGTTTCCTTAGAAGTTTTTAATTTTGGAAGTCCAATTTATCTATTTTTTCCTTAGTTCCTTGTGGTGTCATATCTAAGAAACTACTGCCTAATCTGAGGTTATGAAGATTTATGCCTGTGTTTTCTTCTAAGAGGTTTATAATTCTGAATGTGACATTAAGCTGTTTGATTCATTTTGAGTTAATTTTTTAAAAATATGGTGTGAAGTAGGGTTCCAACTTCATTCTTTTACATATGGATATCCAGTAGCCTCAGCACCATTTGCTGAAAAGACTATTCTTTGCTCACTGAATTTTCTTGGCACCCTTGTTGAAAATCAATTGATCAAAAATGTGTAAGTTTATTTCTAGACCTTGATTCTATTTCACTGATCAATATGTCTATCCTTATGCTAGAATCACAAAGTTTTGTTTTCTCTAGCTTTGTAGTCAAGTTTTGAAGTGAGAAGCCCCCAAACTTGGTTCTTTTTCAAGATTGTTTTGGCTCTTTCTGGGTCCATTGCATTTCCATATGGATTTTAACAGGAATTGCATTTAATCTGTAGATAAATTTGGGAAGCACTGCCATCCTAATAATACTGAATCTTCCAATCCACGAACATGGATGTCTTTCCACTGATTTAGGTCTTGTTCAACTTCTTTCAAAAACGTTTTGTTGTGGCCTAGCTTCTTTAACAAATAAATTTAACAGGGGAAAGAAAAAAAGGAGAAGAAAGTTGTAGAGTAACAGAAACATAAAGACATAGCTACCACATGCAATGTGTTGACCTTGTTTGAATACTGATTTGGTCAAATTGTGAAAAAAAAAAATGAGGCAATAAGTAAAATTCAGATACTGATTGGATTTTAACATTACGGTTCCTAAAGTGCTCTAATTATTGGTATGGTGGATATGTTAAAAAAAATAGCCTTACTTTTTAGAGATGCAACCTGAGTGAAATTAGATGATATCTGGAATATGTGTCAAAATAATTTGGTGGGGAAGTAGAGATATAGAGGAAACCTACATAGTTCATTACATTATTCTTTCTATGTTCCTAAATTATGGCATGAAAGTTGAAAAAGTTTTTAAAAATCTCTATTAGTTACCAGGTAAAGTACAGAACATAACTTTCCTTGAGAGCTGGCTCAAGTGAAAGTCCAAGCCCTATTTTCTCAATAAAGTCCAGTATTAAAACTGAAGATGCATTCTGAAAAAAACAAAAACCTATACCAAGACATAAGTACCACACTTAAGAAATGCAAACTTCATAAGAATCTAGTAGGAATATTTAAAATAAACCACAAATAACCCTAAATGACAAATTATTCTATTAATCAATTCTTCTGAATTTAGCTAAGTGTTCTCTCTTTTCTTTAAAGTGCTTTAAATTTTATAGCAGTGAGTCTCCATTTTGACAGTACATGAATATAACCTAAAGAGCTTTTTAAAGCCCAGGTTTCTAGGAAATATCCAGATTTACTGAAACAGTATTTCTAGGAGTAGAGCAAGGGAAATACACTAATTTTTTTTCTTTAGGCTTCCCACTGCTGATTTTATTGTCCAGCCATGGTTGAGAAATAGTGAATCAGGTTAACAGTTTTCCTTATGCTATTATTGTGCTTTATAGGCTCTTAGTCATTCTAAGATTAAAGCATGCTATTTACCTCAGAAGGACAGGGAGAGCTTGCTGCTTGCTGCATCTCCCTTTACCACCGTAGTTTGACAGCTACTGCTTATAATATTTGTGTGAACTTCTCACCTTCTCTTTTTTGGCTCTTTCTAGATGCAGATTCTTTGGGATAAATATTTATATGGAAGGATTTTAAAATAATAAAACAGAAAAAAATTTTAAATAACTGAGAGAAGACAATTTAGGAAACCCCTAAGCAGCACGTTTCAGTACAAAGCCTTTATTACAGTACCAGTGAAGCTAAGCATTAACTAAACTTGCCAGGTGCAGTGAAGGAGAATAAAAAAGGACAGCTGTTGGGGGGAGGGGGTGGGGGAAGGAGCAGGAGAGTGGAAGAAGAAAAATAGGAAAAGTAGGAAAAATAATCAGTACTTGTTTCAGATGCTACCCAAGTTGCTATATGAACTGCCCTGGTCTACGTTAGAAATCAGTAATTTACAAAGACGTCAACTTGGCTTTTTTGGGGGGGTTTGGGGGGGGGAGAGGAGGAAGTTCTTGTAGTAATCTATCTCATTTTCTCCATCTTTAAAATGGGGATATAATAACTCACTCTTTTCATCACAGATGTGTTGTTATTAGGCTAAAAAAATACTTTACACTATTAACATTACCCATGTTCAAATGTCACACTTAAAGCACACAGTGACATGCTTTTATCAATAAAAAACTCACCTGAACCTTAACTTCCTGGTGGCTGAGCAGAGGAACCAAATGAGGGACTATTCCAGAGTCTATTACCATCTGTATCTGTTCGTTGCCAGCATCAGTAAGGTAAGAGAGGGCCCAGACCGTATCTACCAATATCTAATGAATAAAAAGAATTCAAATAGCCTTTGAATATTTTCTCATTTCAAAAATTCTTAACCATATGGACTAACCTATGATTGTTCTACTATCTTCTTTCTTCCCTTTTCTCTCACCTAAATTCACTGGAATCAATCTTCTCTATTATACTAAGCATCATCATCTATGAACGTCTATATCAAGTGTGTGCATCTTATCTTCTAGCCATATTTAGGATATTTAGGTTAATTATGATCTTGTTCACAGATTGGTATCCACTCTTAACTCACAAAGATACAAACACAGTACATAGCACATAAAATATGAGAAAAAGACATTCTCTTTTCCGAATGCTCAGACTGAGGGATACTAGGTCCAAGGACATTGTGATAAACGCATGCAGTTGGAAAGAGTATATGTATCCAACATACAAAGTGGTTCAAAGCATCTGGGCTAGGTGAATATATTCAAGGTGTTCTCGCATCAATACCCTGTTGGTAGGTCTAAAGCCAATACTCCAGTATTAGGATTATAGTACTTTCATCTTTTCCAACCAGTATGCTTTGCCTTATAAAACCAGAGGCAACTTCCCAAATAGGAATCTCCCACAGCTGCAGATCAAGACATTAAAAGCAACCATAGGTCAACTTGTGAGATCTATAATCAAAAAACATGTTCTAGTTAAAAAGCAAAAAAAACCAACAAACAAAAAACTCCCCAAAAACCAACCAACCAAACAAAACTATAATTTACATCAGGTGCCAAAAGTACTTTAAAAAAAAAGCCTCTGTAATTAACTTATAATGATTATATTTCAAAGTGCAACAGGCCATTGTGTTACTTCTTTCTTTGTATGTGAAGTCCTAATTAGAAGTTATGGCCAAAACGAAGAATGACAAACAACTGTTAAACTGCTAAATAATACAATTACTGACAAAGACACAGTAATAAATAACTGTGCCTGAAACTTTACTTCCGAAAGCTTTTCTGGAATATGAACTCTGTGTCAAAAGACAAACCAGAGAAGTCTGAAACCTTTAAATTCTAAATCAATGATATGTTTAAAACATCCAAGAAGCTCCTAGAAGAAAATAGCACTTTGCCATTTTTCCTTTCAGAAATTCAAGAAAGCACTATGGATATTTTTAACGTCAAAAGAAGACACCAAATGAAAAATTCACACACATAAAGTGGTATCAAAATATGTGAGACAACTAAATTTCAACTTACAAAAGTAACTATTTTTTTGCCAAAATTTGCTGACATAGGCAAAAAAACTTCAAGTTACTTTGTGCATGACTGTATGTAAAATCCAGATATATTTTTTAAAAAAGGCCCAATACTAAACATGTCATTAGTATGCTCACATCAAAATCATAATTTAAATCAGACCTGATCTCATATGCACTTTTTGTGTCAGCAAAGTCTATGATAAGTTTACTAATTACAACCAGAGTGTAATTTCAATGTTTCACTTATGGTTTGTGGAAGCAGTTTCATTATTTTTTTTATTTCTTTGATGGCCTGATTTAAGAACTTGCTCCTAAGTGTTAACTTAAGAAGATTTCATTTTTAGTAAACATTATTGTTTAGTAAACAATATTACTAATGCTACTAAAAAAGAACAATGCAGGGCTTCCCTGGTGGCGCAGTGGTTGAGAGTCCGCCTGCCGATGCAGGGGACACGGGTTTGTGCCCCGGTCCGGGAGGATCCCGCATGCCGCGGAGCGGCTGGGCCCGTGAGCCATGGCCGCTGAGCCTGCGCATCCGGAGCCTGTGCTCCACAACGGGAGGGGCCAAAACAGTGAGAGGCCCGTGTACCGCAAAAAAAAAAAAAAAAAAAAAGAACAATGCAAACTGGCTTGAGAAATTCAAGATATATCAAGAGCAAGAAAAACGGAGTTACAATCTCAAATGGATTGGGGTAAACAAGTGGAAAGAACACAATACATCTCTGAATAAGGTCAACCAAGATGTCTAGTTTTCCAGAAGAGTTATAAACTTTGAGATTAATCTTTCTTGGAAATCTTTTAATAAAAGTAAAATACAAAAAACTGTAATTTAATCAAAGAATTTGTGAGCCATGGCCGCTGAGCCTGCGCATCCAGAGCCTGTGCTCCGCAACGGGAGAGGCCAAAACAGTGAGAGGCCCGCGTACCGCAAAAAAAAAAAAAACAAAGAATTTGGCTATAATAAGCCAAAACCAAAATCTGTTTACATGTGTGGTTTTTTTGCTTGTTTGTTTTTTAAACCCTAGACTATCTGGAGCTAGAAAAAATATCTTTAGGACAAAGATCATGTTCATCTAATGAATAATCAAGCACATTATGTCACTGCTTGATGTAGTATAATTCTAACTTTAACTTGCTCCATATCTTTACAGAGATCCTGGCAAAAGGGTATTAATACCCTAGAAACTGTGAAGGAATGAAGCAGCTTGTCAGACAGTAATCATACCAAACTGTGTTTTTAAAGAACTACACAAGGTTCTGATTGTTACTATGAGTTTTATCCATGTGATTTTCTTTTACCCATTATATTCCTAGCTCTTCTAACACAATAAAAGCTAGACTGAATTTATAAGCAGTTATGGCAGTTTCCCACTCATTCATACTTCCTGAGTTGCTTTCTCCTTTGCTCTCTGTGTTAGTATGAGTAGGATATATTTATTATGTTTAAAATCTAGTCCACACTGATTTGTTTCCTTTTTGTTTGTATACTCAATTACCTCTACACCAAGTGAAGCCATTACCAAAGTCATTATAAATGAATTAATAGAGTAAAAATGAAATTAAAGAGCAACTGATATTCATGGTTTGGTGTAAGAATGGTGTATGAATACAAACCCATGCATAAAGGCACAAATATTTCTCTTTTTTACCTTTCGAAAAATAATACCACTAGGTGTAAGTGTTCTCTCAATGGCCAGCTGTCAAAATGAGCTTTCATAAGAAGCTCATGAACAATCAAAGATAAAAATCTTAGTGAGAGAGATTACTAACTGGCAACTTTAAGAACTTCCAATGTCAGTTTTCACAACACTAATATATAATATATGCACATACATTACTGCCCAGACCAAAATAACAGGCTTGATTTCTTCACTGAAATTACATATTGTGATATGGGTAAACACAGAGAAAACATAAAATACCAAACTATGTATCGCAGCTCCTGAAATGAAAAAATTTGATAGAGTGCACTGACATAATGTCATTTTCTCCCCTGTGTCACAGGGACAAGCCCTAACCACATATACACATAAAAATATATGACGGGAAGCATTTACTCACATTTACGTCTGTGTGATGAATTAAAACACAAAGAGCTGGAAGAATCTGAAGAGAGAAATATATAGATTTTAAAATACACAGATAAAAACATACACATAATGGTATCTACTTTACTTTAAAGGAAAACAAAAACAAAAATACTTGTTACCTCCTGAATGGTTTCCATTGGGGGTGGTGGGTCTTTGTGGCGACATAAGTTGACCATAACCCAAGTAACATTTCTTAAGAATGTTATAGGAATAGATGGACTTATGAAGGAAAGTAAAGGTTTCACAACTCCAAGACTTATGACATAATCTCTACACTGTGGCCCATCACCTGTAGGAAGAAGGATTTATTAGTTCAATACAATAAGCAACTCAGAAAACGTAAAGCACTGGGTTCAATATGCTACTTCCTGTATTTGAACCAAGTATACTATTTTGTTTTATGTGAAAGTTTTAGACAATAACCTAGTTCTTTGAGCCAAGAGAAGCAAGATAAGGTACTAAGATTTTTTTGCACATTATTCATGTATTCAGGTTTATATTCTGTTTACCCTAAAATGTTTTTATGCCATCTAAAATGTTTTTATGCCATCTAAAAGCCTCAGTAAGGCTTTAAAGTACTTTGTGAACACAGAATTCTTGCTTTTTCTCTTCTCTCTCAATGGTACTCTAAGTTTAAGAAACTTTCACGTTATAAAAAGAGATATATTGAAATACCATTACAGAGAAAATATTTGTAGAATTTATACTGATGATCTAATATCAAAGCATAGAGAGTATTAACTATAAATTACTCTATACACTTAGAAACTATGTCTCAAAAAGGCAGGGGAGAGGGAACCAATACCCCTAGATCAGTGGTTCCCATAGTGATTTTGGGGCCCTATCCCAAATCTGTTGAAACAGAAACTCTGTGGGTCCAGGATTCTGTTTTAACAAGCCCTTAATATAATTTTGATAACAGGCTAGAGTTTGAGAATCACTGCCCTAGAGAAAAGTGCCAAATTTAATTTCCTCTACCTAGAGTATCACTATAATTTGTAGTATGAAAGCCACACTGAAGTATTACATTCCGTAAGTGAAAACACTTTGCCCTGCACTGTGGTATTTGAAGATAAAATGCTTGTTCTTTTTGCAACCATGTATTCTAATTAATTCTAAAATGTCACTGGAATTAAAAGCCAAAGATCAAGATGTTGTATTAATAGTTCTAAATCTACAATTTGGTATAAAAGTGAGGGACTCTGGATATACAAACGATAGCATTCCTAACAGTAATATACCATATGCCAAGAACAGTTTAAAGGGAAATTCTCCCATTTGAAAACTCACAATTGTGGAGCACTAACCATACCTTACCTTCCATCTTGGCCCCCAAAAGGGTAATAAAGAGGAGGTATATCAGAGCAAAACTGATTACTTCTATGCAAAAATAAAAAAATCTGTGGCAAAAATAACTTTTAACATCATGGTACACAATACAGTTCAGACTGCAGATTTTTTCCATTCTCCACTGGAGGATAGATTTTTGAGTTTGGGTGAAGTTAGGCTGTAGTTAAAAAACAAATTCTTGAAATACTGGAATTGTCTTTAATTATTCTTCCTACAATTATTTATCAGAAAAAACCTGAAGGTATGGCAATCATGGTGGTCAACATTTAATGAGACTGCCTATAAGGTACAGATACCACATGTATGATGATGACCTCATGATGATAGTGGATAACATTACTATACTTCATTGCACTAAAATCCACAAGAGATATAAAAAATTTCAATTTAGATTCTTCTCAGAACTGCTATTACAGAGAAAAATTTTGGTTTATGTTTTGCCTCCTCCTTTTTTCTTATTATTTCCTAGGATAGTAAGAGAGTTGAGGAATAAAATGGGCCAACATAATAAAGGAGAAAGAGGAAAGTACCTAAATCACATACATATTTCATAATTATTCAAATAATTAAGAGTTGACTATATACAAAGAGATATACTGGTATCACAAGCAACAAAAATGTTCATTCTGTTTACTATGGGTTTATACTTAAACAGCTGTAATTTCTGTAAACTAGTTCATAAAAACTAGTACTAAAAAAGGCAAATTGCTTTTTCTTTTCAACTACTAGTAGTCATTTTTATTACACAGTACATGATAACAATGATTGCTGGACTAGTATTACAAGTTTTAGACAAACCTATGATATTTCCCAGTGCCCACACTGCTTGCTCACAGACATTTTGATGGGGTGAATGGAGAAGCCTCAGGAAAAGTGGAACAGCATCTGAAGAAGGAAAACATAAGCTATCATTTAAGTTTGAAGATACTGCTATATATCAATTATATTTCAATAAAACTGAAAGGAAAAAGGTTGAAAACACTATAATCTAAACCAAAAATCAAACTTGTTCCTTTGCTGAAATCCCAAAAGAAAGAAACCTATCAAAAATATATTTAAGGGCTTCCCTGGTGGCGCAGTGGTTGAGAGTCCGCCTGCCGACGCAGGGGACACGGGTTTGTGCCCCGGTCTGGGAAGATCCCACATGCCGTGGAGCGGCTGGGCCCGTGAGCCATGGCCGCTGAGTCTGCGCGTCCAGAGCCTGTGCTCCCCAACGGGAGAGGCCACAGCAGTGAGAGGCCCACGTACAGCAATAAATAAATAAATAAATATATATATATTTAAAATATATCTTCATTAAATGATTTTCATTAGAATAACGGTAGCGGAAAATTTCCGGCCACCAGACTATTCATCATCAAAGTGACAGTTTTAACACACAGACAAATGTCAAATTAAGCTGATAAAATTTCATTCACAGTTAAAACCGGATTTAATTCCAATTTCAAGAAATTAATTCCTTATAGATTAGCATTAGCTTCAAATCTGAAAAAAACTCCAATTATTAAAATAACTTTTGAATACAGAAATTTAAAATAACATCATATGGGTCTTTAGCCAGGCCAGTGATTCCTGTGCCACATGAGACCTTCTGAATCAGAAAATGATTCTGTTGCTTAACACAAGGAAAAACAAAGAGACGTTTAACAGAATAATACTGCACTGAACAAATGATTCTTCTATTTCTTTTCTTCCCTCTGATATTGCTCTGAAAAATGCTATTTGAGTACATGTAGATCAATCATGCTTACTTATAGTAAAAAGTAATTCATTTATCCATTACTTTTGGTATATTAAGACAGACTAGCAGTGTTAAAACAAATTCTAAGCCTCTTTCTAATCTTTAAGGAACACAAAAGAGAAAAGAAGAGGGATTAAGACATTGTCTTGAAATCATAAAATTAACTAAACAGTCAACTATACAAAGCAAAACCAAAAAATCCAAACCCCAAAATCACCTGAACCCAAAATTAATCAGTTTTATTATAATTTAAGGAAATTATCTTTTCTATGTAATATTATAATACAAGTGTCTATATAATAAAATCCTCACTGGATAACACTTTTGTTCCCTTTCAAAATCTTGACGGTGCTTAAGATTTTAACAGGCTTATTAGACAAGTATACTGCTTACATATTTGAAGGGGATTCTGAAAGTACTTTCTTTAAAATTATTAATTTCTTTGTTTAGTAGAAGAATCAAATAGTACTTATGAAAATAATTCAAGTTATTACTTTCAATAATTATTTCCCACTTACATTTCTTGGAACATAAAAAACAACCAATCCTATAATAACAATGAAAAAAAAAATTTCAAGCCATTCTCTAAAGTAGGACCACTTTATAAAAGAAGATTTCTTTAAAATGTATAATGGACATCTCATTAACAGTGTCCAACAGGTAGTATGGCAACAGGAAAAACACCTTTATTTCTGTAATGTCCTATAAACACAATAATGTAACTACTACTATAATTACAAAATGTTCTCAGATTTAGAATCAAATGAATTTTTGGAAATAGAAAATGTCAGTCAATGGGACAAGATGATCAAAGTAACATACTTGAGTTGGCCTATTTCAACTACCTTATTTGTTACTGAATTCAAAATACTTAATTATTTTATAATATAAATAGCTCTATTCTTTTAGGAAAAGCATTGAGTTTTTTAATTAACTTTTTTTTGAAAATCACAATTTTGTCTCTTAATAACCAACTTACTGGACTGAACTACTGCTTGAGTTTGTTCAGAGGTTCCAGACGCAATGTTTGTCAAAGCCCATGCAGCTTCAAACTGTAAAGAAGGACTACAAAAAACAAATAATTTTAAACAGCAGGAATTTCTACATTGGCCCAAATATCCACCAACCACTCCTCCCCCTAGCATTTTAAAAGTATTACATATTTTTATTCAAAAGATCTATGCACCCAGTACTTTTTTTTAAACTTCCAATGACTATTTAAAATATCTGTTCAGTATAAAAAGCTACAACCTCCTCAGGTGTCCTTATTTTTAGTAAGAACTCTTTATTAAGATACCTGCACATTACTACCCAAACAGTTTTCTCAAGTACCTATCTGGCTAAACTAGTTCTTGCCAATTTTCAAAGCTTAAAAGTTAAATATATCATTCACAAGTTCCCGTTTGGTCTTTACTTTCCTCTGTTGGTGTAAACATTCCTTACACTGTTTTTCACTTTGGCTTCTCAACTCCACCTTATAGCCCCCTTTTTTTTTCTTTAAAGACCAAACTAACTATGAGAAAATCTTGTCTTCTGCAAAGGATACATCCTAAATTATTTCTTAAAATAATGTACTTACTTGTCATCTCTTTCAAGACAATGGACTAAAATAGGCAATATTCCAGATTTTATTAAGTCATCAATTGGTGGATTTCGATCACTGGACAAAAGCTTCCTATAAGAGATATAAACATACCCCTTGTGAACTTAATGACATATAATTAAGTTCAAATTCACATTTGATATATTACAATAAACTGAATATTTGGCACAAATACTCTCCCTGCAAGCTACTTTTTAAATTTACATAATGCAACCTTTTCTCTATTATAAATTAATTTATAAATTTACAGAGATTATTAATAATTAGGAAAAAATGGTAAGACATGAACCACTTTTTTTTAAGTTAGGACAAAAGCAGATAGGATGCTGGTACAAGTTTATAGCTGATACTAGTGTCCAGTTCTTCATCCTACCCTATATACCAAATCAAAGGTCATAAAAGCTCAACAACATTCTCATCTCAACAACTAAAGGAAATGAAATAAACACAGCAATACATAGGAAAATATCCAGAGAGATATTGGAGATACTAAGGTGAATGACAGACACATCCTTGCTCTCATGGAGCTTAGAGAGTAAAACAATACCTAGTGCCCATTTACACATATGGCAGACTGCAGTTTTAGCTGACAAATCCTAAATGTGGCCTAACACAAATCTTCACCCATTTGAATCCCCTGCACTACTATATGAAGACAATGTTTAAGCAACCTTAATCAGATTATTCCCCTACATAAACCAAGTGATGGCTGCTAATTTACTACCCTATCAGTGTAAACTCCTTGACTGAGTTTTTTATAACACTCCACAAACTAGCTCCATCTTATTTATCTACTAATCTTATTCTCTGTAATTCAACAACAGGTCAGTCGTCTGTCCAACCATTTCAGTCTAATTTCTAGGCCCTTCAAATCCTATTCCCCACACTTGGAATGCTCTCTTTTTTGCCTATTCAAACTCTATCTTTTCAAGTTAAATGTTTTCAAAATACCCTCTCTGAATTCCGAGAATATATACACGGCATATGGCTACATTCGCTGTTGAGCATCACTATTTTTAATATAGTTTTGCCTTCCCGATTAGGTTCTAAACTTCTTACAAAGCAAGAATTATTCCACATGCTTCTTCACAGTATTTTCCGTAATAAATGGTATGATTCTTTGCACAACACAGGAAATAAACCCAGTCTTTCTTTCTTTTTTTTTTTGCGGTACGCGGGCCTCTCACTGTTGTGGCCTCTCCCGTTGCACAGCACAGGCTCCGGATGCGCAGGCTCAGCGGCCATGGCTCACAGGCCCAGCCGCTCCACGGCATGTGGGATCTTCCCAGACTGGGGCACGAACTCGTGTCCCCTGCATCGGCAGGCGGACTCTCAACCACTGCGCCACCAGGGAAGCCCAACCCAGTCTTTCTTAATCAAGGTTTCAAATTTAATATAAGAAATTATTTTTTATTACTTCACTGAGGACATTCTTAAAGAGAAATGTCCCTCTTTCTTTGTAAAATGGCACATACAATATCTACAATGTATCATCAGTTTGGTGACACTGTCTTGCTCTGTGCTAAGGTGCCAGTAGTTTACCCAGAGTTGCTTTTGCAACATCCATGTGAATGTTAACACAGTAAAAACAACAACAAAAAAGGCAAATAAAGTCTTAGAATTATTGTGAAAATAATACCTCCTTAAGTTATCCCAGGCTCTCCTAGGGATCCACACACTATATTTTGAGATCCCCTGCCTTAGGGCTTTAATTATCTTACAGAACTCATGTTGAGAAGAGCTGCTCCAATACTATAATCAACTCTGACAATGGTGAGCATAATGTATCAATTTCTTAATCATTCTTCCTATTAACATTAATTTGCCATTCTGAGATGTGAAAACTTCTGTGATTTTCTTCCTACATAGCAAAGTCCTCTCTAGGAAGTTCTTCTACCTGTGGTGGGCAACACTTAATTCTATAATTTCCATATGTGTTCTAGGCCATTTAAAGTGAATATGCAAAAGTAAGAAAGCCTAATAAACATAAAAGGGACTCATGCACTGGATATTACATAAAACTGTGAAGTTTTTTTTCACTTTAAAATTCTGTAACTAGAATCAATTTCTTGCTTAAGTGTCTCTTTCCTACAATTACAACATAGGGTGGCATTCTTTTATTTATAAAAAAAACAAAGGGCTTCCCTGATGGTGCAGTGGTTAAGAATCCACCTGCCAATGCAGGAGGCACGGGTTCAAGCCCTGGTCCAGGAAGATCTCACATGCTGCGGAGCAACTAAGCCCATGCGCCACAACTACTGAGCCTGCGCTCTAGAGCCCACGAGCCACAACTACTGAGCCCATGTGCCACAACTACTGAAGCCCGCGCGCCCTAGAGCCTGTGCTCTGCAACAAGAGAAGCCACCGTGATGAGAAGCCTGCGCGCTGCAATGAAGAGTAGCCCCCGCTCACCGCAACTAGAGAAAGCCCGCACGCAGCAACGAAGACCCAATGCAGCCAAAAATAAATAAAATAAATTTAAAAAAACAAAGAAACCACTATATTGTACTATGATACAACCATGTCTTCCCCAAGCTATTTATTAATACAAATGTCTCAGTAATAATTTTTTGGTTTTCCCTTAAAATATGAGTGCATAGGTTTTATAACAATGTGCAAAAATAACTAAATATTCTTACATTGACTGAGAAGTGGGAGTCTCTGTAGCCCTAAATCTTAATGTGTACCCCTGTACACTGCTACAGTAAGCTTTAATTCAATTCATTGTTTGATCAATATGAGGACTGTGAGAAGAATTAGCTACCTGAGCAGGATTTGATGAATCTGAATTTTAATAAAATTAAATACCTATTAATCAGTAAAAGGTAAAAAGCTTTATAAATAATGTTTTTCTATTAGTCTATAGCAATACCCTGTCAAATCAACTTTTCCCTAGCATTTGTACCTATTAGCCACACTAAGGCCTCAATGTATTAGCGAGTTTAGAAAATTGCTAATTTTAATACTCTAAATCAGAGAATAATTTTGAAAATAAATTCAGTTGGTCTATGACTGTTCTTTATTGTCATCAAAGTTAATATAAGAAACAGGACTACTATATAGTGAAAACCCAAAAGAGAACTCCTGTGTAAGTTACAAAATATGACCTTAAAATTTAACTTACCTAGCAGCTTGAACTGCACTTAACTGAATTCCTTGGTTATCACTTGAAGCATTCTATAAAAAACAAAACAATTTTTGATGCAGATACACAGTAATTAGTTGTTAAGTCCAAGAAATACAAATGAAAAGGGGGGGAAACTCAACTTACTTGAACAATAGCTTCTAGAGAGGTATTTTGCTGGGAAAAAAGTTAGAGAAAACTAAGTTAAAAAATCACCTTGTAATTCTGTATTTATGTAAAAATTTTTCACTGGTATTTTTAAATTACCAGAATAACAATTACTTACCACTCTATAATCACCATCTATGTCAGAGTCTTCACAGATATCTTCATGTGGTACGTTCCTTCTCTTTAAGAGATGTTCATCTCTTTTATTCTTTAAAAAAAAAAAAAAAACCAGTTAATTTTTAAAAAGCTAAATACTTTCATACAAAGGTTAGGCAGTCCTGTGCCTACAAAAAAACATGAAGTGACTTTTAAAAGTAAAATGCAAACGCAGAAAATTAAACCAAATTGTGAATTAAACACTTAAGCAACACTAATTTGAGCCCCAAACCCCAAATACTACATTTTTAATGAACCGTGAACAATGTAAAAATAAACTAAAAAACAAAATAATTTGATTAAAAAAGATAGTGTACAGTTTAAGCCAGAACCAAACATACATATTTATTTAAAAGTACTAAACCATTTTATACATCATCTGGGAGCTTCTCTTTATCACCTAAAAACAAAGTCAAAGCAAAAGTTGGGCAGTTCAAAATCAGACAAAAATCAACAATACCTTACAAAACTGAAGGGCCACTTGAATTTCACTAAAAATGTTTGTGACAAACTTAAAAATATATTCTCAACTAACCTACTTTAATACTTGAAAAGTTGATGAAATTTTTAAGTACCAAGTTCCTTTTATGGAGTAATTACTACTGTAAATAGCAGAACTATTTAGTATGACATATATTTTATATAAACCATTTAAAATTACAGAAGAAAAAATCATTTGATAATGTGTTTATCTCTATATTTGGATAGTGGACAAACTGTATCTTGTCAACTTCAATAGCTTGTCAAATTTAGTCAATCTTTCCATTTTCAAAAAAAAAAGAAATGCCAATTAAGCACCTGAGATTAATATACATTTGCTAATTTCTCTATATGCTGTAAGGTTGTTAGAATTATGCTTGAAAGTACCCAATATTAATCAGGCTCACCTTCCTTAATTCAACTACAACTTCATTTCGTTGTCTTCTCATAGTCTACAAGAAATTAAAGAAAATTATTTTTAAAAAATCACCTCAAATTCCATCACCCAGAGAAAGCTGATATTAACATTTTGATGTACATCCCCTTATCTTTTCTTCGACTCGTATATATACACAGTCATATTTTACTCATAATAAAGGTTATATTATATAGATGATTTCCTATCTTCATTTCATATTCACATTCTCAAATACTGAACATCACTGAAATTATTAATGGAGCTATAATATTGGATATATCATAAAAATTTTAAACTGTAACATAAGAATTATTAAAAACACAAAGGTACAAAGAATAAAAGAACCCATAATCTCACCCCCTATATGAACTTCCTATTTAAAAAGTAATATATGTATAAGGTTAGTAAATGCAAATGCTTTAAAAAAGGGGGGATGGGGGAAGGGGAGAGAACCTTCCTGCCCATTCATAGTTTCTTTCTCTAAAGGTAAACATTGTTAGATTTACTACGATTTTGACACACTTATCTATTTATTCTGATCTTCACCTTATTTTTGTTTATTTAATTAAAGATCTTAAAGATTTTCCATGGTGGTATACGCAGATCTATTTCATTCTTCCTAAGAAGCACATTAATTATTCTACCACATACTGTAACCATTGTTTTTTAAAGTGTTTTTCTCATTTTAAAGTTACGTAACATAGAGGACTTCCCTGGTGGTGCAGTGGTTAAGAACCCGCCTGACAATGCAGGGGACACAGGTTCCAGCCCTGGTCTGGGAAGATCCCATATGCCGTGGAACAACTAAGCCCGTGTGCCACAACTACTAAGCCTGCATTCTAGAGCCCGCGTGCCACAACTACTGAAGCCTGTGAGCCTAGAGCCTGTGCTCCGCAACAAGAGAAGCCACCACAATGAAGAGTAGCCCTCGCTCGCTGCAACTAGAGAAAGCCCATTGCACTGGATAAGATATTAGATGAAACATATTTTGCAACAATAATCTGATTTTTATTGGTGGTGACAAAAATCACAGGTAACTTTAATAACTACTGAGGTTTATTGGTTACATTATTAACTGAACGGAATACTGTTTCAGTTAGAAGTTAGTGAAAACAAAGATGTAATTAATTTTTTTCTAAGTTCCCAAGACCTCCTGAATTCCACCCATAGACTCCATGGGAATAAGGACTCAGTAAAGAACTCCTTTCTAAAAAGTCAATCAGGTCATGTTACTCCCCTCTTCAAAACCATCCACTGGCTCTCCACTCTGGAGTAAATGCCCAGTCATTATAATGGCTTAAGTCTTCCCACCTCACGCCCTCCGTGGTTACCACCTCTAAGATCTCAGCTCCTATCACTCTCTCAATTCATTCTGCTGTATCCTCACTAACTTTGCTATTCCTCTAATGCACTGGAAATTCTCTCTTCAAGGCCTTTTCTAATACACTATACAGCAACTGCTAAGAAAATGGACTCCAAACTCCCAATGCAGGGGGCCAGGGTTCGATCCCTGGTCAGGGAACTAGATCCTGCATGCATGCTGCAACTAAGAAGCCTGCATGCTGCAACTAAGAAGGCTGATGCCGCAACTAAGACCCGGCGCAGCCTAAATAAATAAATAATAAATATTAAAATAAAAATACCAAGACAATTAAAAAATACTAATAAGATAGGCTGCAAAATGAATAAAAATAATTAGACAAGTATTACAACAAGAGTTTCAATATTCACCATAGTTTAATCTTTACAGCCTTTAAGAAGTAAGAAGAAATATTTTTACTTTTACAAGTAAGGAAACTGAGGTTTAGAGAAGTTAAACTACTTGGCCAAGGCTACATGACTAGAAGTGGGACAGCCAGGATTAGAATTCAGAGTCTCATACAAAGCCAATTAACCACTATGCCATACTGTCTCCCACAAGTCTTAAAGTCAAATAGAGTTCAAGCCAATTTTAGAGCCTATGGTTCATTCCAAAGCAAAAGTACTATTATCAAGACAATGCGCTTTCGCTGTATCACAATACAAAAACAATAAATAACTCAAATAAACAATAACATAAAACTATGTCCTGTTTCTCACAGAAAATAAAATCTGCAAAATGTACTACTTAAAAGATTTGTTCAGTAAAAAGGTAGACTTTTGAGGGACAGAGATTATTTCTAGTCTAGTCTCTAATCCCATCTAAAGAAGTAGGATTAATGTACAATGAATGGGCTTTAACTTCTTAATAAAGCAAACTATTAATAAATCCTAAACAACTGCTATATATTGACCTAAATATTTATTTACACACATTTTTCCCCATTTTTGTACATCTTACTTATTAAATTAGTTTCTGATAATTTGAAACTCTTAATAAAGGATTTATCAAAACAATTTAGCACTGTAGTTGCTGTGACATAAGCTTTGGGCTATTACTATCCACAGAAACATTTGCAAAATAAAAGAACTGACAACCTCTTTACAATAGAGCAAGAAAGAGTTTTCTTCTCTTGAGAGAAAGCTGTTACCTCCAAGGTAAAGAGAAGATTGAATGAAATAGTAAGATATAAAGATATCCTACACAACAACCTGGCAGCATTTATCCATGTTTTTTATTGCAAAAAACAAAGTGTCTTAAAAGTGGTATTAGATATTTAGACATTTTCAAATCACAACCCCATCTCGAATCAAGAAGGACTTTTATTTCTCTGAGGTCTCATGAAAGGGATACACAAGGCTTCTTTTTCTAAATCTTAACTTATCTTAAAGAGCAGGGTTTTTACATACTACATACAAATATAATAGTTCTGGATTCGCATGACTTAACTGATGCAGTAAGCTGTCAATCAGAATTCCAAAAGGCTGCCAAACTAGCCAAAGGCTTATTTAATAGGCCAAAGACTATCTAAAAAACAAAGGCTACAGAGGGTGCCCGCCTCCAGCCCCCCACCCCCAATAAACAGTAGAGTTCAGGCTGCTCTGATCATCCAGAATTTTTATATTTCTTTGCTTGTGATACAGCTTCAAAGTTCTAAACTCAGGCAAAAGGGAACAAGAAATTGTCAAAAAATTCAAACAAGTGAATCTTACAGAACACAGAATGGCATTTCCATTTAATAGTTATGTAGTTTTTAAAATTAACAAATAATTACTATGTATCCATTACTGTGCTAGGTTCTAGGGATTACCTTCTCTGCTCCAATGGGGTGAAAAGTAGAGTACTTTCTTTCCAACTTATGGCTAGTTAATTTCTAAGTCACTTTTTATCCATATAATATACTGTTTTCTTTAAAACTTTAGAAACTATTAATTTAAGATATGATGATGTAATAATATACTGTATGAAACTGAATGGTTTAAATTTTCTTGAGTAAAAAGTTAGGGTTTAGATCAGTAAGGACTCAGTAAGTCTTACTAGAGAAAAACATTTAAAGAAAATTCTAAAGTTAGTCATTCAAAGGTAAGGGATATAATACTTTGATTTTATTTCATCCAGCCTGTCATTTTTACCTTAGGAATAGCACAAAAAAGCAAAGAATAAAAAAATTTATCAGGCATAAGATCTTTTGTGAAGTGATGAGCTATATTTTAAAATTGGTATTTAGTAATATTACCACAACTCTGAAAATTGGCTAAAAATCATTTAATTGTATACTTTAAATGTGTGAATTTTATGCAAAGTAAACTATATCCCAATAAAGCAGTTTTTAAAAAGTTACACACACACACACACACACACACACAAATCCTCCCCTCAATGTGGATTACTACTGTATTACCACTTAGAGCCTGCTAAAAAGCACACACTCAAGTATTCAAATATTTATTAATCACCTACTTGCCAATCATAAGAAATACAAGGATGGACCAGACATAGCATATCCATGGCCTTAAGGAGGTAGTACTCTTATGACAAAAAAATACAATTTAATAAAATAGTAATAAGGCCTAACACTTAGCAAACACTGGGTGTCAAACACCATTCTCAATATGTTACTTGACTTTATTCATTTAAATATATGTAATGTGTTATAATGTGCATACTAATCTTAAGAGCAGAGAGACTATGTAATAAAGATGAAATATAAGCTGATGAAATATAAGCTGAATCTTTAAGACTGAATGGAAATTCAGTTAGAGACAGGCATTTCAGGTAGAAGATAGAACATATACAAAAAGAGAGAATTAAAAGTGAGTAACTAGTGTTTTCAACCTATATAACCATTGCATCCTAAACATAAGTACAACAGCTGTTTAATCCAATAAATATGGTAAACCAAATGCTAAAAATAAATATCTATAAAAGTCTGTTTTCCCATTCTTTACCTATTTCTCCCTCCTCTCATCTCCACTTGTTGATCTCTCCAGCAGCAGTCATTACGGTGCTTATTTATGCCTTTGCCAAATAGCATATATGTTGTTAAACTGCAGGTGATTAGCAAATAAATTCCAACTTCACATTTATGACAATAAAAAGTTAAATGCTTAATGTTAAATGCTTAACGTTATATGCTTGCTCAAACTGTGGATTTATTTCTCAGCAATAATATTTATTAATAGCAGCAGTAGGAGAGAAAAGTTCTAATTAGCACTACTAGTGACAGACAAAAGTCTTCATAAGTAGAATCAAGTTCTTATCTCTGACAAGTAAAAAGATGAATGGAGGCTGAGTATAAGAGAAGTTTAAAAGTAAATTCACAGGCTTCCCTGGTGGCGCAGTGGTTGAGAGTCCGCCTGCCGATGCAGGGGACACGGGTTCGTGCCCTGGTCCGGGAAGATCCCACATGCCGCGGAGCGGCTAGGCCCGTGAGCCATGGCCACTGAGCCTGCGCGTCCGGAGCCTGTGCCCCGCAACGGGAGAGGCCACGACGGTGAGAGGCCCACGTACCGCAAAAAAAAAAAACAAAAAGTAAATTCACTGTAGGAAGCCAGATTTAACCTTGGCAAGCTTTTGGACAAGTTTTAAGACATACTTCGAATCTACAGATACCATACTTTAAAATGATCCACATGTAAATTATAAGCATTGAAATTTAACTTATTAAACTTATT